GACGGAAGCTTCTGAAATTTTTGCATCCTCCAATTTTTACATATTTTTTCAGATTTTAAAGAATCTAACTGGTAAGTTTGTGTTGGGGTTTTTGCATCGATTTTTTGTAAGTATATACAAATTTCCTAAGTTTTAGGCTATTTATCAAGTTTTAGGCTATTTCTCTTGAAATTAAAATGTTCATTGATTTTTACTTTGCCAGTTTATCACCCTCAATTTCGTAAGTTTTAGGCTTTTTTCATGATATTGTACCTGAACATATTAGTTTCCCAATTTTTGTTAGTATTGGTATTCTGTATGCTATGTTTGCCTCATGGATCATTACTGAAAGATTAATGAATCAATTGGGGATAAAAACTAATGATCTTTCTGGGTTTCTTGTTTCTTTTGTTATGCCTTTTTATCTGATAACAAACTTGATTTGTTCTTATTGTTGTTCCTTTTCTTTTAATTTCTATTATCAATACAGTTTGGCTATTTATTGTTTGTGATAAAAATATTTGTTAGTGTTTGAAGAAAGAACTCACTTTGACAAGGTGCAAATGAATTAAGAAAAATATTTGTAATACTATTGGTATATTATGCTTGAACAACAATGAAGATATTTCAGATATATACTCTCTTGCCATTTCTGAAGATTTAAAGGAAATTCAATTGCGTCGGACAAAAGTATATTTAGCCAAGATCATAAACAATACTAATATTTACTTGGAAAGTATGAGAAAATGTATATGTGAATATGATCTTCCATATATACCCATGTATTTGAATAACACAAATGACATAGAGAAGTTGGAGATGAATTATTGATAAATATACATTTTGAAGATTATGCAAAATATTGATTCTTCAACAACATAAAACACATTTAATGGTATTAGATTGTACATAAAGTGACAAGACGACATTTTTTTTATGGATCAGGTGAAACTGACATAACACTTTTATAGGTTCATTGTTAGCTCATCATCTAGATCAATTAGAATTTGAAACCACATTATCTAGATCAATTATTCTAAGTATCAATTGATGTAAATGAAGGAAACAAATGTAGTATGTCAAAACAAATGAATAGTTAAGTTATATAAGACACAATTAAGACAATAGGCGATAATAACATTTATTTTTAATGAAATATATATTGAACAATTTAAAATATTAATTAGAGACGACATTTTTTTTATGAAACATGTGAAACTGACAAAAAGATAAGCAAGTGTATATTGATAAAAAAGATAAACGTAGCAAGGGCCAAAATATGGGTGGTGCATGTCTTCATACCAATTAAGTTTTTTATGGATCATAAGGTTAGAAATTTTTTATCCTGTAATTTAAAATACATACAACTTTTTACGAGTTCTAAATGAGTGGTATATGTTTTATTATACTTCAATTTTTTTTTTAATGTATTAGGTAGATTGTCATCATGCATTTCATTTTTCCATGATTAATATTGTTAGAGATGTAATGGTATCAATACTTTACTTTTGTATAAATAAAAACATTAATGATGTCTTTGGTGTATATACATAATTAATTTTGATTTACCCATAAATATAACTAATATACTTTTCATTGGTAAAAAAATTTGCATTTATCACTTAATAAAAAATATATTAATATATTATTGGTTTATATTGTATTTAATGTGATTTGTTATATATATACTATATCAATATTATTATTATTATTATTATTATTATTATTATTATTATTATTATTATTATTATTATTATTATTATTATACAGGGAAAATATAAATTAGACCTTTCATTCATTTATGTGATTTGATAAATAATTGGTATCTGACAAATAACAACAACAATAACAACAACAACATATATAAATAATTACATTCTTTGTGTTTACAGGTGTCGATCCATTATAGTCTCCTTATGGGATGATATGGCGCAAAATGAAGGATCTGCCCCACATGATATGGTTGCACAAAGGCCGTTTGTAACGTTCACTAAGCTAACGACATCAAAGATATACAACGGTAAGACATAATACATTATATTAATAAATACTAAAATAATTCATTTTGAGAAATGATATTTATATTCTATAGTTTTTTATTGATGAAACAACTGGACTATCAATTCTAATATTGTTCACTTTAATATTATTATGTTAAATGCAATTGCAAACAAACAACGCATCAATTCTGAAAATCAACGCGTCTTGTGAAGGAAACAATCAATTTCGTTAATGGTATAATCCAAATTCAGGGAAGTAGATACGATATAGTGCAATATAATTCAAAATAATGAGACCTTATGTTTATATGTAATATTTATTAGGTTGCGAGCACATGACAAGCATATGAATTTGCTTGAAATGTCGATGAGACAAAGGATGAAGGATGTCGAAGTTGTGACCTTACATCAAATTTTGTTCAATCGAGACGAGCTCAATAAGGTAAATTAGATAAATAAGTAAAATAAGAAGTCAATTTTTCCTTGCTAAATATCTCTATGTGTGAGCGATAACATTATCTTGACGTTAAGTGGAGATTTCACGTATCAAAATTCTACACTTAATATAAATGTATCATATTATATAAATAGTGTAATGGGTTTCAATTCAAGATCTCATTTTTTACTTGATGTCATCAATATGATTCACATGGACTTGGGAAGTTGGTTAGAAAATAATATACATTTACAATAATTAATATTCCCTAAAGTTTATTTATTTATTTAAGTTATGGTTAATATCTAAGTTTGTTTACAAATAAGAGTCATCTTTCAAAAAGATAATTAACTATTCATTTTTTACTATATTCAATAATAAACTATTTCTTGCAATCGGGCTTGCCAATGGGTGAAAGATGTTAAGAATGAAATATTCCTGCTGGGGGCGAATCCTTTTTCATGGTGATCCTTTAATATTTGTGTACAACATGTATTTTAGTATCTTTTGTTTCAATTATACTCCCTCTGTGTTGCAATATATGTCGTTTGAGTGTGTCTTTGTTTTTTAGTATTTTAGTATCTTTTGTTTCACTGTTCATATAGTGTCTGTTATCAGTTATTATTATTATTATTATTATTATTATTATTATTATTATTATTATTATTATTATTATTATTATTTTATTTTTATTTTTAAGTTGATCATATGGATATTAGATGGGTGTTTTTTGATTTCATAATGTAGCAAAGCATTGATGTATTCTATTTTTTTCCTCTGTTAGCATCTAAATGGTACCATATAGAAATATCTCAAAACTTTCAACCAAGAAGAATCTTTTTCAATTTTGTTTGCAATATTTTTCATTACTTTTCTTTTCATTACAGGAAAAATACTATTCTTTCAACAGATACGTGGATAAGGTCATGAATAAATCATCTTTGTAGTATGAATCATGTAAAAGTTGTGCCGCTGCAATTGCGAAGACCGACGACAACATGTCATGCAAAAAGTGCAATAGCAAGTCATGGAACCAACTCCAAGGTATTAAGCATAACAAAAACACCGCATCTAATATTTTAAGTACACAAAAAGATTACAAAAAAAAATATACATTCATTGCAGATATAGATTGGTCTTAAACGTCGTGGGAGATACCCACAATGCGACAATAACTTTATTTGAGGATGCCGCAACGGTGTATGTTGAATGTCCGATTAATGATTACATCAGAAAAAATTGAGCAGGTGAAATATATACTCATTTTCAAATTCACATGAATCGTCATGTATAATTTTAATTAAACACTTACTTTTTGATGCTCATTAGGGGGAAGAATTATCTAGATATTACAAAGGGTTGAGCTTACAGTCAGCATTTAAATTTTAATTCATCATTCCAGTCAATGGTAAGTCGTTCAACTTAAGAGGAGCATTCAATGCGGTGGCAGAGGCAATTGCAAGGACGCAAACTACACATGATTAGGAAATGAAATGATAACCAAGCAATTTCTCTAAACAACCCTAATGATCTGCATGTGGACGAAGCCAATTCGTCAAAAAGGACCAACAACAAAAAGAAGCGATCCATCAACAAGATAATAGAAGATAAAAATGATTGCGTTATTGAAGTTGAAGATCATGAGACAATTAGTACTATTAAGAAGAAATGTGCAAGAAAAAGTACAAAAGTAAAAGTGGGGAAAACGTATTTTCATAATACGTTTTTCAATTAAATTTGTGAAGAAAACGTATTCACTGAATACGAGTTTTTGATTTTTTTCCACACTTTTTTTTTTGTTTTTTTTTGTCCAATTACCTTAAATTTATTTTTTTTTGGTAAAAAAACCAATAATTAAGAGTCTAAAAAACTGAAATCGGTAATTCACTAAAAAATACTCGGTCAACTTTTGAAACTAGAAATAAAATATCCGACAATGGACATTTAGAACATGATATTCAGAACATATTAAAATATAAGTATAACAATCTTAAACATGAGGTCAGCAAATTAATCGAATCTGATAATAAAAAGTTATGATCTGTCATAAAAGTTTCAAAAGATAAAAACAAGTAAACACACATACACACACACAATAAAAAAATGACCTATATCAATAACAAGTCGTTCTTGTGATTGTTAGCTCTATTAGGGCTAAAAACATCTAAGATTTGTAAATGCAAAAAGATTTAAGACTCATAGAGAAAATACTGACAAGCCAATAGTTCTGTTAAAATTATCATAAGGCAAATAAAGAGGAATTCAAGAAGCCTAAATAATTAGGCTCACATTTGTTTATACCAATTTTTGTTTTCCAACAAAGGTGCAGAGAAGTAGCAGAACAAAAACCATTTCATTCAGAAATAGATATACTCTCTCAAATTACAAACAAAAGGAAAGAAGCTTTTATCCTTAAAAACACACAAATCAAGACAAAATTGGATCTAAATGCATCATAACGATCAGAAATTCTACAAAAAATTAAAGTGTGCCAGAAGTTGAAGGTGATGCAGAAGTACGTGTCAATGATGTTGAATCAGGAGAGGCGTCCGACTGAGAAGGCGATCAACAACTAGTCCTTAACCATGCTGGCGACGTTCATGGTCAGCACCGAGCTCGAAAACCTAGGTCGCTATCTGGCTGCCTCAGAAGGGGGAATTCGGCAATTAGACAAGAAAATCTCAAGCGGTAGCGAAATAGACATCGGAGGCCTATTGCCCATCCTCGCCCCCGCCGTCGTCGGTTTGGATCTCAACCACAAAAGTAACCCAACAGCAGTGGCCCGGAGCTCTCGCTGACTCATCGGGCCGGAGCACGAGAAAGAGCACCCGACTCGTCCTCGTCGAGATCCTTTCCTTAGTCGTCGCCGCCGTTTTGATCTCGGCGTTGAAGGTGATGTTGAGTGGCAAGTGAACGGAAGTTGAAGATGGAGACTGATAGTCACACTCAGGACGAAGAGTTTTGTTATCCTATGCTCTATTCGCTAAATGTCTGAAATACCCCGCAAGTTAATAATTTGATGCCTCCTGTGTTCGTCCGATCAAGCATATTTAGTGGCAGAAATTCATTCTTATTTCTTTCAATGAGCACTATTTTCATCCGAGCGCATCCCTAAATATATATATATATATATATATATATATATATATGAGTTGGGATCAAGTGAGAATGGTAGATATATATATATATATATATATGAGTTGCGATCAAGTGAGAATGGTAGATAGTGAAAGAAATAAGAATAAATCTGAACCATTCAATTTATCTTATCAATGACCATGATTAAGTCAAATTTTATTAATGACAGTCAAACAAAGTGTGGCAATTCCATAATTAAATGGTCATATTGTGGTCATATATATCTATTTGACCACTAAGTAAGGGTACATTAGTCAATTAATTTTTTCCATCTAAGGCCCACACCACCTACTCTCTCTCTCTCACATACTCACACACACCTCACGCAGCAACACACACAACCAGGCGGTGGTCTTCCCCCGATGCACCACCTCGACACCTCCATCTTCACCACCTCCGGCCATTGACTTCCGACCACCGCCGTCAACACACCGGCTGGTTCTGTCACCACCGCAACCAACCACCAGTAGCTCCACCACCAACCTCCACCATCCCCGTCACTCCACCATCCCCCTCACCAACCACCACAATCACCGCCACCAACAACCACCAGCTCCGCCCACAACCACCACCAATCTAGCCCCAAACCACCACCAGCACCACCACCGGACTCGAAACACCACCAGCCCAGCCATCGACACCAACCCCCAACAGCCCTTCCACACCCGTGAACAGACCGGCCGCCGCTCGGCAACCGTTCGTAATTATCAACCACCGTTATATAGCCACTCCGACCACCACCAGTCCATCCACCACCAACCCCGCCACCGACTCGAAACACCACCAGCCCCGCCATCGACACCAACCACCACCAGCCCTGCCACAGGAACACACCCGCAGCTGCACAACCACATCGCCGCCGCACAGCCACCGTCTGCAATTATCGCCACCGACATCTAGCCGCTTCGCCTCTGCCACAGACACCATCGTCCTCGTCCGTGCCTCCATCTCCTCTCCGTGGCTTGCCATCGATTTCAGACGTCCAAGGCTGACACGGTCCGCCGGCGGGATTGAACACATCTGCTAAATGAACACTCGATTCCAATCGTCCGCTGGCCGTAAATGCCGGCGGCGATCTGAAGAGTGAAGGGAGACGATGGCCAGATTTCTCCCTTTTTAGCTGTGCGTGATTTTCAATTTTAGGGATGAGTTCAATTTGGGGATGAACCATTATTTTATTAATTGTCATTTTAAAAAAATATATAATATAAATAAATTAACAGCCTAAATATTTTATAGTAAATTTAAAAATTTAATAAATATAAAATGTTGGTAAAAAATGTAAAAAAAAAAAAAAAAAGTCGACATGGATATGTAATAACCAAAATTTTAAAATATAAAACGACAATCAACCCGATATATAAAGTTCCGAACCAAAAAATTGATTTCGGGCAGTTTTGATTGCTACGGTGTGCAATTTGTGAGGCATTAATGTGCATTTTATTAAACAATATAGTGCACGACTTTGGTCGTTAATATGCACTCTAACCGACATTAATTGAACCGACTTTCTTTTATCACAATCAAAATTAAAACCAAACATAAATGTCTGATTTAGCCGGTCAGTTAAACCATTTTGACCAAAATTATCGAATTACATTATCATGCATATTGTAGTTCGTATCCTGAAATTGAAATAAAAATTAGATAATCGACACGAATATAAAATTTCCTTTCGTATATTTTAGTTTGGGCAGTTTCGATCGCTAATGTGCAATCTAATATTCATTTGTGTGCAATCTGCCTAACAATATTGTGCATTTCCAACACATAAAAATGTATTAATAATAATAATAATAATAATTATAATAATAATAACAATAATAATAATAATAATAATAATAATAATAATAATAATAATAATAATAATAATAATAATTTATATAGTTCGCTTTGAAACTTTATATTTCGGTTCGATAATGTGCACTCTTACGCTCACTAGTGTGCAACCCATCTAACATTGGTGTGCATTCTGTTTAGCATTATTGTGCAGTATAGTGATTGATTATTTTATGTGCATTTTTTCTCAATTTTTTAGAAACCGTTAATATTGCGTATTCAATCAACTATATTTTGCATTTATAGTAATATTTATATAATAAACATAAATACATTTTTTATTTATTATTTTATACCATTATTTGTTGAAAATAAATAATACACGTATATAAATAAAATTTAAAGAAAAATATTTTTATATAGTTTTGTCGATTCTCGTAATTCCTTTTTTTTAAATAAATTTATTTTTATTTTATTTTATTTTTAAATAAATCCAACCAATGAACCAAACTAACAGAATTTTTAATATATGTGAAAACCGTTATTGTGCATTTGATCTATCATTATTGTGCATTATGATGTGCATCTTAATTACTATATTGTGTATTATGCAGTGTGAGATCTTTTTTTTATGTGAACTGAGATAATTTGGTTATTTGATTGGTTAAAATTAATTTATTATTTATATTATCAAGAGATATTTTATATTTTAATATTGTTATTTGATTATTTTATATTATTTTTTATTTAAATACATAAGTTACATATGTATAAAAAATATATACAAAATAATATGTTTTTATACATTTTCTGTAAAGTAAAAATTGGACACATGGGCTAATTAGTAATATAGTTAAAAATAATAAAATAATAATAATACTATTTTTATTATTATTCGATCGGTTTGGCCATTTCGGTTATTTTTAAAAATAAAGACGAGAGTGAACTGAAATTACCGTGATTTAAGAGTAAAAAATATATAATCGAACTGTAATATAAAATTTCTAACCGAGAATTTGAGGTTTGAAAGTTTAAGTCTTTAATGTGCAGTCTGGTAGTCATTAATGTGCAATTCGTTTATCACTATTGTGCACTTATAAGGCAGACATAATTAGTGATTTGATTCATACCAAACTAGACCGATCTGAAATAAACGGTTTATTTGATCGATTGACCGAATTAATCTAATAATATAATATTCATTATTTATAATATAAAAATATATTCATTGTTTTAATATTATTATTCAATATTTTTATATTACAGTTTGGTTTAAAAGACACAATATATAAAATATTGAACCATAATTGTGCACTACCACATACAATAATGTGCATTTTGTCTAGCATTATTGTGCAATCAATTGATCAATTTTTCTTTTGTGAATTTCAATTTTAGAAATTTCAATAATGAGTATTTTAAGTAACATTATTTTTGCAATTATATATTTATCTATAATAAGATGTAGGTACTTATTATTTTGTTTAATATTAGATATTACTATTGTTGAAAAAAATATATTGGATGTAAATTTCTATAAATTACATATTTGCTCAATTTACTAAATTGAAAAATATATTGAATGTAAATTTATATAAACTACACATTTTCTCAATTTACTAAATTGAAAAATATATTGAATGTAAAGATATTGGTATTTTTTTATGTGCATTTCTACACTCATGTGCATTTCATATAATATTTAATATATTTTTTATTTAATATTTAATATATTGTTATTTCCAATGTGCATTTCTTCACCCAATAATATGCATTTATTATACATTATTAGCAATTCATTATATTTTTGTAAATTGCAAAATCACCCAGGTCTTATTATGCAATATACAAGAACTTATAAAATTGCATATAGGTCCATATTATTCATCTAATTTACACAAAAAAACCCCAAAATCATATTCTCCATCTTGTCTCCCATATCCGCCAACAGTGCGGCGTCGCCGCCGCCTCACAGGGGGAAGATGAAAGTGACGTCGTCGAACTCGGCGGCACCCCTACCGCAGCCCTGTTTCGTTGATTAGAAAGCCATAAATGGCTAGGAACTCAGTGGCCGTGAACATTTCTCAGCCCGACGCCGGCAGAAGTTGCGGGTCGCGTCGCGACGGCTGGGGCGACGGCGGCTGTGAGCGGATCGGTGGTTGCAGCGTCTTTGCGTGGGGTGGCCGGACGTGAGAGTGCCGATCAAGGTGTGGGTCTGTGTGTTGATCTGCGTGTGTGTGTGTTAGAGGCGGAGGTATCAAGAATCTGCTGAATATTTTGATCCAGAGATTCCGTACTCAAGCCATTCTTGATGAAAGTTATTTTATCTTCTCGATTATTTGACACAAAGCCCAAAGAAGTACAACGAGAGTCACAGTTCCAGCGAGCACATTTATAGCAGCCGCCTATTCTTTTTGCTCTACGTTTCTTGACAAAAGTGCTTTTACCCATACCTGACAGATACTTGTATGCATTGGGATACTCGCCAGATACATGAACTTTTGCTTAAAGATAAACGGATTTTCAAGATAATGAGTTTGAGTAGCATCCCGAGTTAGTCGCAAAAGATTTCGAAAGAATTAAGTATATTAGAAGTAAAAGTTGCGAAAAATTTACTCTGATAAGCGGGGTGTTACAGTGTGTGTGTTTGTCGACTTAGTGTGTGTGTGGGTGTGTGAGAG